CCGGGCTGCCGTGCTGCGAGTCACGCAGGCTTCGCCCCCCCGCTGGGTGCTCGCCGTGGCGGGTGGTATTTGCAGAGCGCTTTCCCCGGGGAAGCTGGTGCACCTGCGAAGCACCGAGGTTCGCCGGCACCAAAGTTTGCGAGTGGGGCTGCCCGCTGGCAGAGAAAAGGAGTTTTTCCCCAGCCAAAACCCCTGCAAGGAGCTGACAGCAAGGATCTGTGCAGGGAAACTAGGAAGATGGAGAGGGGGTGAAACTGCTGTCATTTTTGCTTGGCATTTGGAGAGGAGCGAGGGCTCTAATTGCGTTAGCAAAGTGATTAGCTTAATTAATCAGGTTTACGGCGCAGATGAAAGGATAATGCTGAAACATTGCTGGGAGTTGCCTGGGGAGGAAAAAACGTAGGCTGGTGTACGAGGAACTTGGAGAGAGGCGTTGCTGCCGCGAGAGGAGCGCGTGAGCGCCAGCCCCGTGCCTGCAAGCAGGGAAGGGCCGCGATGTCTCGCACCGCCTGTCCTTGCCCTGGGGCCCAGGGCGGCCGCAGCTGCGTCATCCCTGGTAGGACTTGATCGGACTTTGCTGTCCACCTACTCCCTGGGGGTCGGAAACCCCTTGGGTGGACGTAGCTCGCAAGCGGGACGGGAAGCAAACCTCACGCAGTGCTGCTCCCCCAGGTAACGTTTGGCGTTGGTGTTTCGAAAGGAGGAAAGAGCTGGTGTTTTGGGTCTGCAGCTGGGGCTGTGCCTGGTGCATCCCTGGCTGGGACGTGGATGTGTGGCCAGGCTGGCCCATGCCCTGCTTCTTGGGAGGAGACGGGCAGAGATGGCGTTTGCTTGATGCGTCGTTCTCCGGTAATGGATCTGGAGAGGTCTAAAGGTCCCTTCCTGCGTCTTTTATTGATGTTTGTTGGAGTAAAAGTGCAGAATGCCCAATTAAACTGTCTTTGTGCAAGTGAAGCCTGTAATTGTTTGTTGCTCTGGAGGAGTTCCATGAAGTGTCATGAAAAACCCATTTTACAGCAGATTTGGCTTAAACGAGTTGGCCATTAGGACAGGAATGTAAAAAACTCTTGGCTTAAATGGTTGAGATGGGAAGGGGGGGGGAAGGCAATTGGCTTGTGCGCTGTTCTCAGCTGCATTAGCACAAGTGATGGGGGGCCGTCTTCAGGACACCTGGGTCCTTCAAGCTGCCCCTGCTCCAGGAGTTGGAAAAGTGGCTGCTGGAAACCCCCTGCTCCGACCCGCCGGAGTCGGTGCAGCAGCGACGCGGCAGTCACTTTCGAACAATAGACTTTATGGTCTATTGTCTGGGCGCTGCCGTGCCGGGTGGGGCGCCGCCCGGTACATTGGCCTCGGTGGCGCTGGCAGCTCGCCGTTTGGTTGCAGCTGGAGACCTTGAAGAATTTCACCTCTGGTCCCAGCGCTGTATTTTAACCTTAATATTCAGCATTGTCCTAATCCCCATTAATTCTATCCTCTCCCCCCCCCCAAAATCCTTAATCAGATCTAGCAGCTGGAGTAGGCAACTGTTTTGCAGCTGGGAGGCTTTTTTCGGTGAAGGTTATTCCTGTGACGATGGCTTCCCTTCCTGGCTGTGGTTTGGGGTGGGAGCACTCGATGGTGTTTGGCTTTTTATCGTGCTCCCAGATCTCTGGGGTTTAAGGCAATGGTCCTGCCTGGCGCGCTGCTGCTCGCAGGTGGCAAAGCCTTCGGGAGCGACGCTGGCCGTGGCCCCGCTTCGCCTGCTTTTTGCACGGGGAGCAGAGGCTCTTTGCGGGGAGCTTGTGAGACTTTAATTGCAGTGTCTGTACCGTGACTTCACCAGTCTTGGAAATCTTAAATTAGGCTGGCTTCTAATTAGCAGCACTTAAAAAGAAATCCAGTTTCTAGAAAAACAGCACAAGTTTGCCTTGGACTTCTTGTGGCATTGACACCAGCTTTTACCTTTATTTCAGCTGGTGCTTTCCCACCTAGGGGACATGCTGCGAGCCCAGGACCGTGCAGCAGCCCGGGCTCGGCCGGGGCTCTCCGGGTCCCAGCGTCGGGAGAGCGCAGGGTGTCTCAGGCTGGTCTGTGCAGGTGGGAATTGCGAGTCTGATGGCAAAACCTGAGTCCCTTGCACAGGGACGAGGTGGCCGGTTTGTCTCCGAACACAGCGCTGTCGGCTCTGTCCCTGCTGCCTTCATCAGGATCTGGCCCTGTGTCACCCGAAACGCTCTGCAGGTCGATCTGGGTGTGTTTAGGCCTGTTCTTGCCTGTCCTCGCTAAGCCCGTTGATGTTTGGCTGAACACCGTGCCCATCTTGGATTGCAAGTGCTGGGAAAACACAGTGGCTCTTCGGGTTTGGCATGGGTTTTGGCTCCGTAGGGCCTGGAGGTGCTGCAATCCAAGGGATTGGGGTGACCTGATTAATGCAGGTTCCTGTGCCCCAAAGCTTTGGGGGCTGGGAGCAGGAAGGGGATGCACAAGGTGGTGCTTAGCCTGACCTTCACCACGCTGCGCTTGCTGCTGTTGCCCTCAACATGTGCGTGACCCCAGGCTGGATTTTTGCCTTGCAAATTCTCTTGTAGGTTATAGCGTTCTCCTGTTGCCTGCATGTCGGTGTCTGGGGGGGGTGGAAAGCTGTCTGCATCACGGCAGAGGTGCCTCTGCGTGCCCCAGGTTTGATCCTGCTCACGTGGTGGAGCTGGAGCACGTTGCCTGCCAGCCTTGCTGCGTGCATGGTCGCTCGAACGGCTCCTGAGCCCTCGTGTCCCGCTTCGCTATGAGAGCTGCAAATCCTCCTTTGAGAGAAAGGACGGCACAGGGCTCGCGTGTGCAATCGCCTTGGCGGGCGAAACTCCTCACCCGCCTCCCCAATGTCCCATCTCCTGTGCAGAAATAAGGTACTTCTCCTAAATGGCTATAGTGGGGAGAGGTGGGAGACAAAGATGTTTCTAATTAGTGGTTTGAAATCTCTCTCTAAATCTGCCATCCCCAATTGGTTTTTTTGGCGGATGCTGCCAGGCCTGGAGGCATTTCATAATGCTCCAGTCGTTTGGTTCTGAAATCACTTTGCGAAAAGGGCAGGAGCCTCGCACTGAAGCAGGGCTCCTCGCACGGACGCCGTGCATGCAGATGGTTTGGATCATTAGGCAGCACGCTGTGGCTCCTGCCTCTGATATCTAAACCGAGCGAGTCTTCGGGCTCTTCTCAAGATGCTGAGCGGGGAGTCGCTGGTTTGAACACAGAGCTGGCGGTGGGGTGGAGTGGCCTGGCTGGGGCTGCTGAGTGTTTTCTGAGTAACCCACACCTGGGTGATCAAAACCATTGCCCACCAGTAACCTCCCTGGGCTGAGCAGCACTGTGTGCTCTGGTGCTTGAGGCAGGGTTGGGAGCTGAAAATAGACCCTAGGTGCTTTTCTTCAGTGACCTTGGAGAAGGTCCTTCACCTCTGTTCAGCAGCTTGTGAATGGAGGAAGTGATTGCTGCTCCGCTGTGGAGGACGGGAGGGAGAGGAGAACATCTCCAGCAGCAAAGTGATCAGTCCCCAGTGTTATGGGGCAGGCTGGATGCTACTAACTTTTTCCAGGATAATAAGCCAAACGATCCCTGCTGATGGGAGAGTGTTGCAAGCTCCTCCTTGGCATGGGAAGGAGTCCTGCTCCTTAATTAGGATCCCTGTGATGCTGCTGGTGTTTGGGGTGGAGCTGGGGCTTTTGGGGTGTCGCATCCATCTGGCTGCAGTCCTGCTCTGTGCTGGGCTCTGTGGCACTGGCTTTTGAAGGTGTATTGATGGATTTTGCTTAGCTGGTAGTAGAGAGACCTTTGGCCACAGTAGAGAGCCTTGCTGTAATCACTGTGACACGCGGGCAGAGCCCTGGTGACAAATCATTAACTCACTCTGACAGGCTGGGTGCTGACGGGTGTTGGTGATAATTTCTTGTGAAGCATTTGAACTTTACAGATGTAATGCAGTTGGATGGAGAAATTAAGCTAGGGTGAAGCAATCCTCAGCCCTGTCCCTCTCTCCTCGAATTCAGCTCTTGCCTGGCAGAGTTGGGGCCAGGTGGCGGAGGCCTGTATTTTTGGGCACCATTATTCTAGCTGGAAACAGTGCGTGAGCCTCAAAGCCTAAATTAAGAACGTGATAATTGCAGGCTTTTAAAAGGACAAATTGTTCTTTGTGCTTTTTAAAACAAAATAATTTTTTCTTCTCCAGATGGAGTTATTGTGATTAATTGTACTGGGCCAGATCTCCTTTGCAAGTACAAATGGCAAGTTTTCCCAGCGATGTTTTGAACAAAACAGCAAACTTTGAGGAGGGGAGCCTGCACAGGTCCTCCTGTCCCCAGTGCTTTAGCAGGTTCCCACGCTAGCAAAACAAGCCGGCAGCGCCCAGCGGAGAGATGCGCCGTCCGAAGCTGCCGCGGCAGGGTTTCGGAGCCCCGCCGGTGGGGAGGAATCTCGCGGCTGCGCGACGTCTCGCGGCGGGTGACTTCCTGCGCCGGGAGCCGTGTCCCCGGGAGCAGCGCTGGCTCTTCTCGCCTGCTCGGGTTTGCACGGAGAGGGCTGCGACTCGAGGCAGGGCTCGGACGTGCTTGCTGTCTGCAAGCGCAGATGGCTTGCTCTGATACTGTGTGAAGAGGAGCTCAGAGCTGCCGTAGGGCTTTTAAAGCAGCTGTATGAAGTCTTGCCCCTCTGTCTGGCAGGAGGCCTCTAAGTAGGGTGTTCTTGCTGCATCCGCCTCCGGAGCTGTGCCTGGTTTGGTTGCTCTGCTGCTTGTTCCTGTTGCAGGCAAATTCCTTCTGCCTGCAAAGTGCAAGGACAGCTGGTCTCCTGCTCCATGTCTTCATCATCCTTGTGCCTCTGCTCCTGGTCTTAGCTTGAGGAGGAATGTGCCTGGGAAATCCCTTCCTTGGCTCAGGTCTCCCCATGGGGCGGTGGCCTTGCCGAGTTGCTCCGGCGCTCGGCTCCTGGTGCGTGCAGTGCTGGCCGGGTCAGGCTCGTTGCCTTGGAGCTGCCGCGATCCCGAGCGTGCAGGTCTCTGGCATCCCCAGGATGCTGGAAAGTCCATGCAGCATTTGCCAAAATGGAAATAGCACTTGGAGGCTTCAACACCACCCAACTCTTCTGAATTTATTAATGGGAAGACAGGTCAAGGGATGAGGGAGGAGCTCAACATAGGAGTGTGTGGTTGTGTATGTCCTTATTTCAGCATAGCAATGCAAAACAAGTGGTAAAGGGGCACAAGTGAAGGAGCAGCACAAGTTGCTGACCCTCAGCCTTTGTGTGAAGCTCTCCTGCCCAGCTGCAGGCCTGGCAAGGCTCATGCTAGGGCTCCTCAGAGCCAGGCTGGGGTGACAAACGGTTTTCTGTATGCCACAGCAGCTCCTGCTGGTGGCAGATGGTGGGTGCTAGCTTGGGAGGCTGGTGGGGGCCAAGGCTTTCCTCTGCCAGCACCTCCCAGGAGGGCATGGGAAGGAGCCTGCCCAACAGCTGTGCCAGGGTGTCTTGGACCATCTCTGCCAGCTCTTGGAGCTGCATGTATGGGAGGGGAGGGGGAGGAGGAGGAGGAATACAGGTGCTCATGGGCAGGGCAAACTTGAAGGGCAAAGCCAAGCTTTCATGTTAGAAATCAAATTCTGATTTGTCTCAACAGAAGCATTGTTTCAGGGAAGAATAGCTTCTCTGTCCTTTGTCACCAGCTCAAGGTCAGACACCAGTTACCCTGTATTGCCTCAGCCACCTCTAACTGGGTTGGGCTTCATGGCCTGCAGTAGATAGGAGGCCACCCAAGACAATCCTGTGGTTCCTCACCCAAGCCCTTGCTGGCCTTGAAAGGTCTCGGCGCTGGAGCAGCTCCGAGAGTCTGGTACCTTAATCCAGTAGAAAAATAGCAGCCCAAGACACAGCAGACCTGTCGGATCAGTGCTGGTGCCGAGCGCTGCCACGCATGCATTGCAGAAGATAGTGCTCGCTGTGCTGCGCGCTGCCAGCTGTCTGGTCAGCCCGTGCGGTGGCTTGGCAGATGGGCACCTTGGCCAGCTGCTGCTGTGCAAGTACAGTGTCTGGGTGTCCCGTGCTTCCCAGGATTTGTGGTCCCCGTGGCCCTCGCAAGGGCTCGTCTGCCCCGCTTGCATGCTGTGGGAGGGGAATCGCAACGGCCAGCGTTGTGCATGTTCTCACAAGGGGAGAATGCTGAGCACTTTTAATGAATGCTACCTTGTCACTCTGATGTGAAACACTACAGCCTGGACTCGCATGCGTGCTGGAGCTGTCAGGAACTGTTAATTCCGGTGAAGGCAAGGCGGTTCAAAGGGTTTAGGGAACGTGCTCCTTAAAAAGGAGCTCTGCTTTGATGGAGAGCATCAACTGAGCAAAACAGGTTGTTGCACAGAAAACATGCTGCTGAGGTTGACTTTTTGCTGCTGGGGAGCCCTGGCTCTCGGCTGTGCTTTGTGAGGAGGATGCGGTACCCACGGAGCCCTGTGAATAGCAAAAGCAGGGGCTTTGCTCTGGGCTTTCATCAGCTCTCGATCTTAACCTCTTCAAGAGGAGCTGAAAAATAAATATGACTTTAAGAGTGTCCTCCAATTAAGGAGTCTAGTGAGTCTAAACAGTGACACTTGCACCCCTTGCTACCTTGCCAGAGTGGCTTGAAACGAAGTTCTCGGAGCCTGTTGCTTGTTGACAGGGAGGCCGGGAGCTGCTCCGGACGTGCAAACACCAGGAGAACAAAGGCGCTCAGCTCCTTTGTTTGCCTGGCTGGTGAGGGCAGGGCTGGAGCGGGGCTGAGGCTGGGGGACGGCGCTGTGCTATTTCGGCTTGGTTTTTAACAAGATCACTGTTTTGTTTCCCATTTCCTCCTCATTAAACTTCAAGCTGGTCTCATTCCCTTTTGAATTCCTCAGCTTATCTTCACTGTAAAGCCCTTATTGAAATGACTTGTGGTGGCTGAAATCTGACTTTTAATACTTTCCATTGATGCTGGTGCAGTCTTGAAAAGCTCCTTTCTCTCCCTCCTTGTGCTGCTTGTTCTTGCAAGGGATCCTTTTCAAATCCATTGAAGCCTTTATACAGCGCTGGGTCTGTTGCAGCGTCTGCCTGCGCTTCATTAGCTGTCAGCGCGCTGGTGCCGTTCCTGGGCTCTGCCCGCCTCCGGGCGCTGACGCCGGCCTCGCTGCAGGAGGTGCTGCAGGACGGTGGGGGACCTCCGTGGCCGGGCAGCGGGTTGCTGCCCGCTGGACCCTGCTGCTTCGCAGGTAGCCCTGAGCCTTTTCTCAGGTGCTGCTCTCCTGGGTGCACCAAGCCTTCTGCACGCCTGGCCTTAGGACGGCTCTGCTGCTGTCTGCTGCAGGCCCTGCTATCTTCCCTGCTTTGTCTAAACGAGCATTAACTAATCCTCTGGCTCTTCCAGGCGGGTGGGGAGGACTGAAGATGACTTGCCTCTAGCATAAGTGCTTCTAAAATAGTGTCTTTTCTTGCGTTGCATTTGTTGAATTGCCTTAAATGCCTCTTTTCCTTTCTTAAAAGCCTAAGTAACTGTAATTACAATTGCTCACATGCTTCCTGCCGCCAAGCTCACCCCCTAACACAATGCAGTTCCTGAAAGGAGGCAACTCCAGCTCTGCCGCTCTTTGTTCTCTGCGGGGCCTGCGAAGGATGCTTGCGAGGATGCGGGCTCTGACAGCTCTGCCGTTCCCATGTCCTTCTCCGAGGTGGGGCAGGCCGGCGTGCTCCAGACGTGTGCAGGGGCAGCCTCAGCGCTGCGTGCTCCCAGCCACCCAGCGGTGCGTACAGGTGTCAGCCCCCTCGCAAAGGGTGGCGTGGCCGGGCACGTGGCGGCTCTGTTGGGGCCTGAAATCACCCTAGGTGTTCCTTTTGGATGCTTTAAAAGGAGGTCAAGTCACCCGTGAAACACTGGGGCTTTCTAGATTCCCAGAGCACGTGGGATTCACTGGAAAGGCACCCAAGGGAGCTGGGGTGTTTGGGAACAGAGGCTGCAGGCACAGGGCAGCCTCTCCCACCAAAAAAAGATTGGTTGTTGAGCCTCGGCGGCTGCTGTCTCGGGGCAGCCTCTCCCACCCACTAGCAACACCTCCTGGTGCCTGCTTGTGTCTTTGACTTAAAGTGAGGGTGCTCCTGTGCCCCCCACCCACTGACCTGAGGGTGCTGGGTCCCATTGAGTCGCCCAGTTCCTCCACCTGGGACTTGCCATGAGCCGGGTGCCTGTGGGGAGAGGGTGGCAGCGGGAGCCTCATCACTAGTGGTTTCGTGACAAGAAGCTGAGAAGTCCCTGGGCAGTAACTATTTTTGCATGAAATGGTATTTATCGCTTTCCTGCTGCTGCTTTTCTTGGGCAGCTCAGCTGTAAATCAGAGCAGGCTCAGACTCTGTGGCCGGCCTGCGTAAGGAGGAGGCTTGCCACGGGAGCAGAAGGAAAGGGCTAGTCAGGCAAAAGGATGCGTGTTTACTGGAGACTTCCTTTGCAGACATTGTCTATACAGAGACGATGCTGTCTGGACTCTGATCAAATAACTCTGGAGACAGATGAGCCTTCTGGTCTTTTTTTTACAGTAGTTGAAGCTTCCTCTGTTTTTTCACTAGGATTCCTGACTCCAGGAAGTGGGTGAGAGAGAATTTAACCTTTTCACAGCTCATCTCTGCTTCTGGGATGGTTGAAGCTCCTCATCTGCCCACCAGCTTCGCATCCTGCACTGATGGTGCTGGGGCTGCAGCAAGCTGTGCCGAGGGATTTGGCTGCAAGCGCTCCCAACCCCTCCATCTCTCCAGGTTCCCCCACATCTGCCCCAGTGCAGGTTCCCGATGTGGGGAAGGGACAATTTCCCCGTAGGGTTGCAGCTCTGTGCACCCTGTGCCAGCAGGTTGGAGCTTGGCTGGGGCCTCGGTGGGTCAGTGGTGATGCTAATATTGCTCTGTCCTGGTGTACCGTTTCCTCTCTTGCTTTAATGACAGGTTCTTGGGAGGAAGATAACCGCCAGGCTCTTGCAGTAAGTGTCTGAATGGCAGCCAGGTAGTGGAGGGGGTCTGAAGCCCATGGCTCTCAGCTGTAGAGCACCAGGTATTCTTGAGAGTGCCCTAATTCCACCTTATTTTTCCCCATTATCTGAACTGATAACCTAGTTCACCTAATTCCTGACCCTTGAGCCTAGCGGGGGAGGGAGGAGGGTCCAGCTTTTGGACTGCTGCATGCTCCCTTGCAAACTGTCAACCCCAAGAGCATTGATGTGGCTTTGCTGCAAGCAGGTCCTTCTGAAGGTCGAACCAGGTTTAACAGCTTTCTGCTGCTGGGGTATGGTCTCTGATCCCTGCTGATGGGGGGAAGGAGGATGTCCAAGGACAAACTCCCACAGTGGAAGGTGTGGGGAAAGGCTCATGCCCAGGTGTCTGGACCTCACGGTGTGGTGAGCATAGCATGCTTGACACAGGGCACAGAAAATGTCAGTGGCTCTGGCAGCGAGCAGTGACATTTGTTCTGCTGGCCCTGTCACCTCGAGTGCCTCCAGCTTTGCTGGCTGCCTGTGCTAGCAACCAAACTTGTTGTGAGCACGATCGGGCTGGCTGCCCATCACCGGGGTGATGCTCTGGAGGAAAGTGGGTCAAGGTAGCCTGATCTCCCTGACAAGTGCTGCCTTTAACAAGGTGTTGCAGTCCCTTCCGGAGGGCTCTTGGGGACCGAACCTTCCAGGGCTGCTCTGAGCTCTGTAAAACCTGCTCCCCCTGTCCCTGGTGGGGCAAGCGTGGGGAAACCCTGCAGGTTTTTGCTGTCAGTGGCCCCTTGTGAACTCGCAGGGGATCCCAGAGGAAGGCTGTGATGTGAATGTGTAGCCGCGGTGTGCGGCGTTTCCCTGCCCAGCTGTCCCCCTGGCTTGGGGTGCTGCAGCCTAGCAGGGATTGCCTAGATAAAATGCGCTTGCATCACTTTTTAGCCTGTGCCATGTTCCCTGGACTCTAGATCTAGGGTCAGCAGCAGGCCAGGAAGAGCTCTGGAGCTCAAATGCTGCTTTGCACCCTTGTAACTCACCCCTGTCTCTACTGTTTGCGAGGTGCTTTCCTGGGCTGTACCAGCTCACCTGCCCGCTGGGCACAAGAGCGGCAGAGGCACTGGCTCAGGGCTGGGCCATTACTTTGAGCTGGCTTAATACTGATGTTCATTAGCTTGGACCTACTCTCCTGCTTGTAGCTTGTCTGGGTCAGAGCACCTGAGCCTCTGTCTCAGCTCTGAATAGCTCGACTAGCTTTTGATGTCTGTTAGTGGCTGGTGGTACAGACAGGGAGGAGGGTGATGGTGGGGGGGATGGTTCATGCATAATGCAGAACTGTAAAAAGTCAATGTTTGAGCCAAACTCATGGATGTTTGAAATTAAGTGCCTGTCAAATGCCTGAGTTGCAGAGCAGCCGTTGTGGGCTGGCTGAGAGCGCGGTGCCCAGCCCCTCCTGCCAGGACGGGGCGTGCAGCCCGCGTGCTGCTGCGTGGGTCTGTGCCCTGGGTGCTGTGGGCACGGTTTGTACCGGCTTTGGGGAGCCTGCTCCCAAGCCCATGGGGGATTTATACTCCTCCTCTGCTGCAAAGGCAGTTTTAATGCCCGTGGCTCTGCTCTTCCCTTGCCTGCCCCCATCCAGGGCAGCTTTCCAAATGTCTGTTTGGGGACCTGATAGGTATCTCCGGCTGCTGTCCTGCTGCCAGGCCTTTGCACACACACTCCTTGCTGGGCCCTGGGTTTGGTGATGGCTCACGTGAGCCCTGCCGGTGCCAGCTCCTCCGCCGCGGGAGCGCAGCAGGGCCGCATCCTGCCGGCAAGCGCGGCATGCTTCCCCGTCTCCCCCCTCCTCTCCGAGGTGGCATATGAGCTCCAGGCCTGGACGCTTTCTTCTCTGCAGGCAGGGAAGCTGTCTTCCTTGCAGGTCCTTCAACCATGGTGCAACGAGTCCATAAATGCCTATCTGGTGCTGGCTGAAGGCTGTGACACCCCTGGCTGAGCTCAAGCGGCAGCCCCAAGCGCCCGCGCAGGGCGGGGAGCAGAGCCGGGCTTGCCTCTTGCCCCCAGTGCTGTGCACCACCCAGCTCACTGTTGTGCCAAATGGAAAACCCAGCTCCAGCCTGCGCCCTGCCCTGGGAATAAGTGACCTCAGGTAGCTTCCATTAGTGGGTCTCTCCCTCTTTGTCTCTTACTGCCTTATAAACATGCATTATGCACAACCTATTAAAGCTGGAGCAGTACTTAGCGTGCAGCTTACTACTTTATAGCTCAGCATTGCACTGATGAGAGCAGCACCCTGCAACGTTTCGGGGAGCCTTGCTGCAGAGTGGTGGGCTGCACCGTCCTGGTGGGACCTGCAGGGCCTGGGCTGCCCCTGGCTTGTGCTTTCCTCCTCCTGGGGTTGCTCTGCTCCAGCCTCTTCCTGGGTCCCCACCTCTGCCCATCTTGTGCTCGTCAGGAATGAATTTTTGCACCTGGGCTCAGATTCTTTCCCTGTGAGTGTCTGCTGGCGCAGGCTTGGCTGCTCCCTGGGAATGGCCCGCAGCGCTGGGGCGAGCC